TATATATATATATATATATATATATATATATATATATATATATATATATATATATATATATATATATATTATTTTCCATTAAGTTTTACTTACTCTAGATGACATTAAATGTGGGAAGACAAACTTATAACTTATACCAATGATGTTCTCAACCACGTTATTGAAAAGTTTACTTTAAATTTTAATAGATTTAGTGCTATGTCCCAATAATTTATCAAATTTTAGTTACTAATACAGTAATATTAAAATGCCAGTCTCATGAGTCAACCCTCACACAAAATTTCCTTCCTTTGCTGTTGGTTTGTGCTGTTTGGTAATGTGGCACAAGATTTATGACGTGCAAATTTATTTATAATTTTCTTTGTCAACATTCTGTAATGTTTTTTTTTTAATAAACTTTCAATATTTGATTGACTTATACTTCCAATAAATTTTGCACAACATAAGTCTTGAGATGAAAAAGAGTAAGCTTATTCTAGTCTATGATATTGGAAAAGCTCTGTTATGACTATATGGCATAGATAAAGTGTTATAGCTATTACTATTTCAATATTTCATTGATTTTTTCTTCAAATTACTGAATTAATTTCATTTATGCTCTTACTTTGTAAACAAACAACAAGGTCTAGTACACTAAAGCAAATCAAAATAAGATAAAAAGTTTAAGTTGTAATAAAAGGAGCAGAGTAAAAATTCTTCAAGCTAACATGATAAAAAAAAGTTGCAGTAACTAGGTACAGTGCCATAACCTGACGACCCAACAGTCATTAAGGAGAGAAACACCAGACACCAAGTTAGATGGAGCACCATCTAACACAGCCTCTTGGTACTGTACCATCCATAACTACTGTCTTCTTGCCACAGACTGAAACACTGATGCAGCTGGCCAGTCACTGCAACTCTTGTGTTTAAAACCCAAAATCCACAGAGAGAGATCTGAGCCTAGTTCTCATTGTTAACGTGATTTTATAAGCTAAAGATGAACTCCATTTTGAAATGCTGGTATCTTATATATATATATATATATATATATATATATATATATATATATATATATATATATATATATATATATATATATATATATATATATATATATATATATATATATATATATATATATATATATATATATATATATATATATATATATATATATACACACAGTATATATATATATATTTTTTTTTATGTCAAACAGGTTATACTGTCTGTTTGTTGAACAATTTCATCAAAATGCAGTTTTTCTTCAGTATTACAAATCGTTGTTAAAAAAAATATATATAAATAAATAAAAAGGCCTAAGCAGAAGGCAGCTTAAGAGTAATAGACATGCAATAGTTCCCACCACCACCATAACCACCACCATCACCATCACACATTAACCAGGTCATCATGCACTATGCATTACAAGGTTCATGCAGCAGCAGGCTAGGGGTTAATTCACACTATAGTCTACTGAGCTAACACAAGCAAGCCTGCCACCATTGTTGGTAGTTGCTAACTTGCAAACTCACAGATAATGTATTTTATTGTAAAATACACTTCTGACAAACAAATTTTCAAAGACTTGAAATTAAAGGAAAAATTCCAAATGTAATTCAACTGGTTATTATATAATATTTAAAAACTTTTTCACAATCTATCCTACTACCAAAAAATAAAATAAAAAAACAAGAAAAAAAGGAAAAAATTACCATGCGCATTCTAATTTGCACTGAACCGAAATTAAAGATCTAAACACTGACTGCACCACCTACGACATCAATAAAGACAGTATTGGCTAATGCAGAACACAAAATAAGAGCACTATGTCTGCCTAGACACTAGTGAGCGAGGCATATTTGTGACAGCTGGTGTGGCCTACATACCTACACAACAGACTAGGGGGTGAGGGGGTGTGACCTTGCGTGACCTCGAGTGGCCAAAGCCACGATCAGCCGTGCCAGACAGGAGTGGCATACGAATGCGCAGGGGAAGGGGAGGTGACAGGGGCTCCCATCAGCCGTATGTCCAGTCACAGGGGATCCATCATTGGGGGTGAGTTTACTAGATGCTGGGCCTATGTAGGATGTGATCACGCTGGGTACCTATATCACACACCCCTTAGATACCTCCTCCTCTCACGATCACAACGACTACACATTCCACTCTTGACACTTTTAAGTTCTTCTTAATTTGTTTCACTACATTTCTTCTGTCCATTAAACACTGACATGCAAAATGATGATTTGCAATCATAAGAAAACAGTTCAACATCTTGCTATGTTCACTTTTAATAGGCACTGCCACTCTTATACATTCTTCTCGCTGAGTTTCCATGTTTCCAGTTGCTGACTTCCAATTACCAAAAACAGAACAGCACATTGAAAACACAACTGTGAATTTATAATATTTGTATATTTTCTATTTCTTTATCAAACTAGTTATGCATAGTATGTTGATGTCCCACAAATCACATGGCTATTCAGAACAATATTCCTAAACAAACTGGTTCAGTTGCAAGGTCAAGGATATTTACTGCAAACTTTATATCCTAGAAAGCCTAAGTAATACATGGTGACATCCCCAGAGTTGGATACTGTAAGGTGGTGGCAGTTGCAGAGTCAGACGACCTTCTACACCCACTAGATGGGGGTTTGTGCAGTGCAGGTAATACCACCTCACCAGCACCAATGTTACAAGTGTAGCAGCCAGGTGCACACTGCCTGGTGCTTGTAATTACAACAAGACACGTAGGCTTCTGCAAGTGCTTGTAGCCCATGCAAACAAGTCATAAGGAAACTTTTAAGCTACAAAAGTGTATTGCACAGGCATATAATTTGTGAACATGGAGACAAATGTTAGATATTACAGACATGAAATAAAAGACAACAAATGTAGTGTTAAAATTGAAGTCTTCAGACATTTGTATTGCCTACAATCATCTATGAATAGTGGTAACCGAACATGAGACAGTAGTGTTAAAATTGAAGTCTTCAGACATTTGTATTGCCTACAATCATCTATGAATAGTGGTAACCGAACATGAGACAGAGATGATGTCCCTTGGTACTGTGTTTCCAAAACATGAAAAATATACAGAAAATGCCCTCCAACATGTATACAGAATAACATTGTGATGATTTATTACCACAGACAGTCATACAAAATTTCTTCTATATAAGATGCTGTAAGTGTAGTAAGCCATTCCATTCTTCTTCCCTAACAGGTTAAAGTGAGATAGTCATATGCAAACAAAAACAATTGTTAAAAGAGGTCTAGACATCCTTCTCATAAAAAAAAAATATTGTGGTTTTTATAACAATGATAAAATCCACAATGAAAAGTTTGATATTGTAATCCACAAACAGCTAAGAATATAAACCATTTGCTTCGTGTGTGCCTTGGGAAGCCTTTCCTTTACATGGATGCTTAATTATGGGTTCTTAGAATATATATTCACAACTAGACAGCTCAGCTCAGTATAAAGTTTCAGTTCAATTAACAACACATCATTGAGGAAGTCTGTATTAAACACAGCAAGGATGATTTTGTTACCAAGATTTCATGCAGAAACCATTAGGAACTTTTAATACAATTCACTGCCTATAATTTTCCAGAATTAGGAGTGTACTATGAGAGGGGAGGAGGTTAAAAAGTGTTCACAAGAAAACAACAGGTAACCAACTGGCTAACTATGTACTGTACTGTATACTAAAGGACACCTGAGAGGGATGCATCATGAGTACAGTATTCCTTTTGGTTATATTAAGAGGATGGTGCGGCTAGAATCTCCCAGTGTTGTTGTTGTAGGTCGTTAAAACTCAAAATAAGTACACACAGGAAGATCCGGGTCCCCAAGTTAAGGTGATAATAATAACACACTCAGGTAGTAGAGAACTTGCTCATTGTTTTCTTTAGGCCAGTGGCTATATTGTTGGTTCCAGCTTCTTTGTTTGGAAGTTTAACTAATGTACTGAATCTAAAAGAAATATGGATGACATTTATGGTAAAGGATAGTTAAGTTGAAGATGGCATGCAATGAAGTTATTACAAAACTCTGTGGAACATAATTTTATATATACTGTAATATAAAAAAAAAATCATTATCATAAACTATTTCATCATCATTCACTTATAATGGGACATTAAATTTATGAAAAGGGTTTCTCAACTTTCTGACTGCTACTTCTAGGGTCAACCCAACAGCCATCACTATCTACCATTTCCCCCCCCCCAGCGCCATACTGCTTCAGTTCAGGGGTCGATATGGGGCAAAGATTATCCATGAATGGGGGGGAATTAAAAAAAAAAATAGTAATAATAAATAAAAATAATAATTAATAAGTAGTAGTAGGGAAGGCGCAATTTGGACTGTTCTAGGTTATAACAGTAAAAGGCGGAAAGTAAAAAATGAATAATGTACCTTTTTAAGAAATATCTCCATCTGTGGGAATGGGTAAAATATTTGAGTTCAACAGAGGAAATTCGTGCATGTGTGAGACAGGGTAGGGGGATAAATTAAAAGTTTGTAGACAGGTTCATTTTTTTCGCAACTCCCTTTTCCCAGATAGTAATGAATTCCTCAAGAACGATACACTGAAAAGCATACAATACTTCCCTTCATATATATATACTTGTAATATTGAATGACTTGCTGGTGGACAATGTGGGCAGCATTTGCCCTAGTTGAGTGATGTGATGTGATGGCTCCACCCCAGTCTAATGATTAACTTGATCAACCATCAATACTGTACTGCACATGTCAAAAATCTGTGATACAGGCAAAACTCTATGGCACAGTGTTTCATCATGCATGATTTCGATTCTGACTGGTTCCCAAAAAATATCCAGAGGTTGGCCACCACCACACAACTAACCATGATCCACACTGGATTAGTCCAATACAACCTTCCCAATCCCATTCCCGGGTCAACCAACCAGTCAACGGCAGTGTACCATGCAGAATGCCGACCCCGGGGGTCGGGGGCGGCACTAAAACTGAACGGGGCACCTACCTTGCAGGTGAGATTCCGAGCTGAGTGCCTGCAGAAGGTGACTAGTGTTTTCTGGATCAGGGGGCGTTCCTCCAGGAGGTGTGGGGCCAGGGGTCGCAGTAGTTTCTCCCCCGGGTCCACAACCACCGCCACCTCCACCTCCTCCTCCTACTCCTCCTCCTCCACCACCGCCGCCACCACCAACTCCTCCACCTCCACTACTACTGTCACCTTCTTCAGGGCCACACCAACCTTCTGCATCAGATGTTCCACTCTCCACTGGCTCAGTCTGAAATATAAATAAGAATTTCCTCTTGTAAGAAAAGAACAATTTGGGGATACAGAAAGACAAGCCTATTTCACGATAAAATTATAAATGGCGAATGTACTGTACAGTTTATGCAATACCCGTACTGTATACATTCACGAATACTGTGGAACAATATGTACTGTAGGCCGAGAAATCATGAGGGCATTATAATATTCACACTGGTAAAGTAAATACTTTCAAAAGTAACTACAGTATAGAGCCACAACTCTCAAAATTATACAGTACTTGAATCATGGCACACACTTTAAATCTGAAACTGTGTGGAATCACGATACGGCCCGTAAATCCGCCCTTACGGAAATTGGGGTAAATTTTAACAATTAAAAGAAAAATCACTATATAAAATTATAATTTTTTGTTAAAAATTATAATTTGTTTGGTGTGGATTTCTTGGTGTTTGTTACTGCCAGGAGTCACTCCATTGTTTACATCCAGTGTGCGCGCATGTTTCTCGCCCCAGCAGTTGGATTTACCTTTTACAAACATACAGTAAGTACAGTACAGTCATCCCTTGGTTATCACGCCTAATTGGGACCACGCCGAGTGTGTGATAACGAAAAATGCGATAACGAAAGTACATAACCTATGGGATTTATTCTAATTGGTTCCAGGCACCCAAGACCCAACCCCAATTTTCCCATTTTACGACCATTTAGACCCACTAAAGACATAACTAATGTTAAGGTAAGTATCAGAAAAACACATAGACATGGCTAGGTTTATTACAAAGTGATGAAAAGGGTATGCTCAATACTGTAGTCCACAAAACATGTACCTAATTCCAATGGGTCAACAATGCAATTTTCAAGAACCAGACCACAATAATAAGTAAGGACCCATTCTACTTTGTTGACTCAACCAGACCAGTAGTTCTGGATAGTGTCAGTAAAGTGGTGCTGTCGTATACTGTAATTGGGTTGTGTCCTGGGGAAAGCATCTAAGTTCACAACCAATAGCACAGTAGAGTAGAGTAGAGTAGAGTAGAGTAGAGTAGAGTAGAGTACAGTAGAGTACGCCCTTTATTTACAGACATAAGGGACACGGCCCTGATCTAGTGCTATGGCATGAGGTACAATGGGATGTTATGAGTCTATTCCACATGTTGGTTAAGACAAGTCCACATATAAGTGTTGGTTAAGACAAGTCCACATATAAGTGTTGGTTAAGACAAGTCCACATATAAGTGTTGGTTAAGACAAGTCCACATATAAGATCCACCTCATGACTTGATTTGACTTTAATTTTTTATTTATTTTATCTTCCCCTTCTGATCTTGGATAATATCAAAGAAGTCTTGTACGTATAGGCTTTGTCAACAGACTGGGATGGGGTTGGGTAGTCAATGGGAGGTAATGAAGCTGGTCTACTAATGGTTTCCCATGTTATTCCATGAACTTAAAACAGAAACACACCCTCTTACAAAGTGTTGTCACCCTTAGTCCAGGCTCACCCCACAGGGACACAACCTCACCTAATACTGGAAAAATGTGAAAGCCAAGAATCCAATGATGTTCAGGAGACCAAAAGTGACATTCCGTGAAAAATCCACCTCTTATTAATACTTCCGATGAGATTAAAAATTTACAGCCAATAAGGTGCCAAAATGCATACTGTAAGTGGTTTGAATACAGTATGTATACTGTTAATTATGAAGTAAGTTATTTAAAGCAACTTACTAAATTTATATCTACAATGAAAATCCACATCTTTAGAGGATTTACACAGGAGTGAGAATTGTAACCATCTCGGAGAGACTGTCTCATCAGCATGGTATGCCTTTTAAAGGCATCTAAAGTAGCACCTGTTCTGTAATGTACACTGAAATTGTCTACAAAGCTGCACGTATATCAAGCAGTGGTCCTCCCCACCCTGCTATATGGCAGCAAGACATGAGTCACATACAGGAGGCACCTCAAGGTACTTGATAACTTTCACCAACGTAGTCTATGTTCCATCCTCCGAGTTCGCTGGGAAGACAAGAGAACAAATGCCTGTATTCTTGCTGACACCAACTGTAGGAGCATCAAGGCTACCATTATCCATGAACAACTATGCTGGACTGGCCATGTTACCTACATGAACGACAGTAGACTGCCAAAACAACTACAACTCCTCCCCGACTTACGACGTGGTTAGGGATCCAAATCCAGGTCGTAAGTCGAAATGGTCGAAAGTCGAAAATGCCTAAATAATACATAGAAAATCAGAGGCGGGAAATATAACTGTGAACAACTTCATATTTCAATGTGATTCTGATCTTTTAAAATGTTAGTTTTTGCATAATGTAGTTTTACTGATACATAGTTTGTCTTAGTGTGTCTTGTTGTGGGTAAAATGGAGTATAGCAGGCAGTCCCCAACTAATGACAGGGTTAGGGACCCCATTATTATTATTATTATTATTATTATTATTATTATTATTATTATTATTATTATTATTATTATTTTTTTTCGGGAATTAGCCCACCGGGCACAGGTCAAGCGACCCTAGCGGAGCCTGGGCGAAAAAAAAAAAGAACGGAAAGAAATTGTAAATATAGAAAAAAAAGGATATACTGTATTAATCTACACCAGAGGTCATAAGTCGAAAATGCGAAAATAATACATAGAAAATCTAAAATGGGCGTCTCTTTTTCTTCTCAGCACCACAAAACTCTCACTTTTAAGCTTGCCAGCCATTTTAAAGTGAATTACAAATGAAAATTTTGTCAGTATACAGCGCACTCACTAACGTCGAGACTCAAAAATACGTAATTTGACAAATTTTGGTACAGTAAAAGTCCAAAAATCCGGATGCCAGAAATCCGGACCAACCGAGAATCCGGACTTTTCGAAAACTCAAACTTTTTTTTTTTTTTGCGGGCTTTTGTGTGTATGTGCGCCTGCGTGAGCGCCACAGCTGCACAGCGACTACAAGCGACCACGTAGTTGCCACTTTAAAACGAGCAATCAAACTGTGACAACATGTGTAATTTTGAGTCCTACTGTTTCCATTTACAGAGTACTGTACAAGCCCATAATAATGGCTCCTAAAGTAGATAAACTTCGTTGTGTGAAGAGAAAGAAGAACACGTTGAAATTGAGTGACAAACTTGAAATAATTAAGAAACTAGAACGTGGTGTGAGCAATACTGTTCTAATGGAAACATACCACATTGGAAAGTCTACAAATTATGATATAAAAAAGGCAAAGAATAAAATTCTAGAATTCAAAGCTTTTTCTTTAAAACTGCTCGTTTTGAAGCATGCTATATTTGCTAATGAATAAATTATCAAAATGTACCTGTTCATCTCCTCTTTATTCCTCCTTAAATTTGAATTTTAAAAGTACTGCCTGAGAATCCGGAAAATCCGAAAATCCAGACCGACCCAATCCCCAAGCAGTCCGGATTTTTGGACTTCTACTGTACGACTTGGGCGGCCGTATGTCTGGGTGGTCGTACGTTGAGGAGTGGCTGTTTATTAAATGCGTCCTCCGAAAGCCTGAATTTGCTACCAGAGTTAACAGTTAATTCATGTACAGTGGTCCCTCGGTTAATGAGCGCCTCGGTTAACAAGATTTCGGTTAACGAGTTACCTCCCATAAGATTCTTAACTTCGGTTAACGAGCAATCTCTCGGTTAACGAGTTTCTTACGAGCCGACCTCAACAAGTTTTGGCTTGCACTTGGCGGTCAACCAGCTTTAGTATTAGTCCGCCAATACATTAATCGGTTCTAGGGCTTAAATTCCTTACTATTTTAGTAAATATCGAGAAGCTTATACTATTCAATAATTTTAAAAGTTTGATATTAAATTTTTTTGTCATTTTAACAATTATTGAACATAATTGAAGGTAAAGTGACTAGTTTAATGCGCGGCATCCAGCCTCTCAACACACCAGACAGGCGTTAGTCTCTTTCTGTTTTCAGTGGAGGTAACATCTTGCTTGAGACTCTCTTCAACTAAACGCTTTTTTTCTGTGTTTCCAAGCAAATTATTTCATTTTGAAATTTATTTTGCATATTGACAATATATAGCGCAGTGCAGTGTTATTTTAAAGAAAATATTCTTTATTTACAACAAAATTAACTTTAAAAAACACGTGTTGACATTGTTTGAATCCAGCATGGGGCCTAAGAGATCAAGAAAAGCGATTTCAATCCAAACCAAGCAGAAAATCATAAAAAAACATGAACAAGGCATTAGAAAAAATGCGCTATGCAAAGAATATGGCATGTCGACATCGACTGTGTCGACAATTCTTGCACAGAAAGACAAATTTAAAGAAGTGAAAGTGAGAGACAAATCTACAAGAGTGTTTAAAAGTAGATCCCTAATTGCAGAAACTAAGAGGTTACTTCTCATCTGGATCAGGGAAAAACAGATGAAAGGTGATTCAGTTTCTACTGAATTCATTTGTGAAAGAGCCAGGGAGATTTACGAACATTTAAAGACAGATCAACCTGGTTCTTCAGGCACAGAATTTGAAGATTTTCGGGCCAGCAAAGGCTGGTTCGAAAAATTTAAGAAAAGAAGTGACATTTTCAGTGTTGTTAGGCATGGTGAAGCTGCTAGTGCTGATAGGGAAGGGGCAGCAAAGTTTTTAGATGAATTTAAAGAACTGATGGAAGAAGAAAATTATCTCCCACAGCAAGTGTTCAATGTGGACAAAACTGCGCTGTTCTGGAAAAAGATGCCCAAAAGAACATTCATCACCAGAGATGAAGCCTCTTTACCTGGGCATAAACCCAAGAAAGACCGTCTCACTTTATTGCTTGGTGCCAATGCTTCAGGGGATTTCCGACTGAAGCCTACGCTTGTCTACCACTCTGAAAACCCCAGGGTGTTCAAGCAACAGAACGTGGTGAGAACAAAGCTTGGAGTTTATTGGAAGTCCAACCGTAAAGCATGGGTGACAAGACAGCTCTTTAATGAATGGGCTGTTGATGTGTTTTGCCCTTCTGTCAAGAGCTACCTA